GTCTTCTTTGGAGAAATGTCTTATGGTTCTTTCCAGTGATGTTCCAACAGCAGTCTTCCTATGAGTTGTTCTCTATACACTGGATTTCACTGATGAGGTGGTTGGCAAGGAAAAGAGCCATTCTGTTAATTATAGGAGTGAGCTATATTGCCTAATCCCTTATAATGTTTGCCTGAAAGAGCCTTGGTAAATTATAGCTAGAAAGTTTTAAAGCTAGTGTAGAGATATTTCTGAAATGTAGGCCTGCAAGTGATTAGCTGACAGAAGATAATCTAGGATTCTTGGATAGTGAAGGACAGGGGAACCTTGTGTGCTGCAGTCCATGGGGTTGCAAAGAGTCAACACAACTTAGAGACTAGATAACAATAACAGCAAATCTAGGATTACCTGATGGGAAAGAACACAAAGTCGAAGAGAAAATGAGTGGTCCTTGAGGGTATGGAATGTCAAGAGCATCTGACAGTTTGGCTGATTGCAGTTTTTTACATGTCATGCATTCTCCCCACTTTTCAAGAGTATTCTGTGTTTAAGGACAGGAAATTATTTTAGTAAGGAGCAAAGCTTTACCTAGTTTAAAGTAAAACTCCCAATAAAATGTTTTCACCTCTCACTAAATAGCTAGGTTGGAATGGCTTAGGTAAAGAACACAAATATATAATAACCCAAATAAGCACATAATTACTGGCAGAAATTCATAACCCACAGAGGGAAGAAACTGAATAAAATTTATTTGGAGATCCTCAAAAGATCCTTTGGCACAAGGTTCCAATTCATGTCTGACCTTTATAGTTTTTCTAGGATTATGCTGGTTATAGATTAGGGGAGAACTGCTCATATTTTTTGATGTCTTAGAAAGCTACCCCATCGGTTTTTATTTCATACTATAGTGACTTTCAGAGAAGGCACTGGTGACCCAATCCAGTACTCTTGCCTGGAAAATCCCATGGACAGAGAAGCCTGGTAGGCTACAGTCCATGGGGTCTCGAAGAGTCGGACACGACTGAGCGACTTCACTTTCACTTTTCATTTTCATGCATTGGAGAAGGAAATGGCAACCCACTCCAGTGTTCTTGCCTGGAAAATCCCAGGGACGGGGGAGCCTGTTGGGCTGCCGTCTATGGGGTCGCACAGAGTCGGACACGACTGACGCGATTTAGCAGCAGCAGCAGCATAGTGACTTTGGACTTACCCAGTGGCCCAGTGGTTAAGAATCTGCCAGCCAATTCAGGTACATGGGTTTAATCTCTTGTCTGGGAAGAGTTTACATGCTGCATGGCAAATAAGCCCATGTACCATAACTGGAAGCCTGCATGCCCTAGATCCTGTACTCCACAGCAGTGGAAGCCACTGCAATGAGAAGCCTGTGCTGTGCTACTAGGGAGTAGCCCCCACTTGCCCCAACTAGAGGAAGCCCACACACAGCAACAAAGACCCTGCACAGTCAAAAAAAAAATACTGTAGTCAATTTCTCCTACTGTGGTGAGTTGTATCCTGGCAGATTTGAAGAAATACCCATTTGAGCTTAGTGGGTACTACCAGTTTGCCACCATGAAGCTCAAAACCCAAGTTGATCTAGTGTTTCTTTCCAGAATTGAGGGTCAGGTGCTACACATCAGTGATGGATTATGTGAATTCCATAGACTGGTCTGTCTTCTGTGAAAGAGGCCCTTGTCTAAGGACTTTAGTCAGAGCATTCTGTATAGTGTGATGATCTGCTAAAACCTTTCCTCTAAAGTCTCATTGTACAGGCTATGAGGAGATGACTAATGTGGCCAAGACTGAATTTTTTTCCTGAGGCAAAAATAAAAAGTGTTACTCATAGATCAAGGAATAGGCTTTAAATAATGAGTCTTTGATGTGCATTAATTTGTTGATAGATTTAGACCTTGGCCTCCTGCTTTGAGTACTTTTAAAGAGAAAAGATTTATGGTTATCTGGAAGATCATGAAGGTGCGCAATTTCAGCAAAGATGACTATTGAATAGATATTTTGAGATCACTGAAGGTGTTTTTGGTTTCTGTTTTTTATGAATAGGAATGGGAACAAATACAAACAGTGGAATAAGTGTGAAGAAAAAAATTGTGTGGAGACAAAGAGAGCATACTTTAGTCTTGAGAAAATGTGAGGCAGCTACTCTTTCATTCCTCCGAGAGATAGCCTTCTCTCACCAGCATCACCAACAAGTGATCCAAAATTGGTTAAGATGGTAAAAGTAGCCATCTACTAAATTTAATACAGGCAACATATATATGGACTGAGATGTAAGATGAAATGCTGTATAATATACAAAAAAGTGACAGTTCCTGCTGCGAGAAAGTTGCCGTCAGTAGAGTGAGGGAAACAGTAGAGTGAGGGAACTATTGTGAATTGCACAATATTCTGTGTACAAGACAGTCTCCTAGGCCTAGAAAATATTTTATCATATTCAATAAACAAAATAACCCTGAGGAATACGTAGATTATTCCTCCCTTTCCCCATCTTATAGTTTGAATAGAGACTTTGAGAATATAAGTGATTTTATCAAGGTTACAAAGCAAGAGCGTATGAAGCCAGAAATTGAATTTGGTATAAGATGTATACAAACAAGGATAGAAAACAGTATTAAAGAGGCTTAAAAATGAACCATTGGACTTGAATGCCACCAAGCTCTCTTTAGTTCAGAAATATTTGAAGATGTCTTCATGAAGGAGGTATCATTTGAGCTAAACTTTGCAAATAGAGGAAAGGATTTTAACAGTTGAATATGGCAAGGAATATCCCTTAGAGAAGGAAATGGCAACCCACTCCAGTATTTTTTCCAAGAAAATCCCATCGACAGAGGAGCCAGGCAGATTGGGCTACACTCCATGGGGTTGCAAAGAGTTGAACATGACAGAGGGCGCATTTTGCGTGCATGTGCACACACACACACAGCGAGGAGGGCAAAGAAGTGATAGAGTGGGGATTGAGTCCAATTCAGTCTGAAGCTGAAGTCTTTTTTTTTTTTTTTTTCACTACAAATAACTAAAACAGTAAGAGAAAATGTGGGTAACCAATGAAAGAAAATATGAATTTTATCACCTTAAGTTTTAAAAAAAGGTTGAAAAGGGAGGTCTAGAGAAGATTAAGGATACCCTTCAATGCAAATACAGCAGGTTCTATGTTATAGAATTGTTGTTGCTCAGTTGTTCATTCATGTCTGAATCTTTGTGACCCCATGGACTGTAGCACACCAAGCTTCCCTGTCCTTCACTGTCTCCCGGAGTTGTTTCAATCTCATGTCCATTGACCTATGATGCCATCCAACCATCTCATCCTCTGTCATTCCCTTCTCCTCCTGTTCTTAATTTTTCCCAGCATTTGCATCCAGTGGCCAAAGTATTGTATCTTCAATTTCAGCATCTGTTCTTCTAGTGAGTATTCAGGGTGGATTTCTTTTAAGATTGACTGGTTTGATCTCCTTGCAGTCCAAGGGACTCTCAAAGGTCTTTTCCAGCTCCACAGTTTGAAAGCATCAATTCTTTGGCACTCAGCCTTCTTTATGATCCAACTCTGGCATCCATGACTACTGGAAAAACCATAGCTTTGACTAGATGAACCTTTGTTGCCAAAGTGATGTCTCNCTTTAGCATAGTCAATGAACCAGAAGTAGATGGTTTTCTGGAATTCTGTTGCTTTTCTATGATCCAGTGGATGTTGGCAATTTGATCTATAGTTCCTCTGCATTTTCTTTTTTTAAAAGTTAATTTATTTATTTTAATTGAAGGATAATTGCTTTACAGAATTTTGTTGTTTTCTGCCAAATATCAACATGAATCTGCCTCTGCCTTTTCTAAACCCTGCCTGTAATTCGTGAAGTTGGTTCACGTACTGTTGAAGCCTTGCTTGGAGAATTTTGAACTTTACCTTGCTAGCATGTGAAATGAGTGCAGTTGTGCAGTAGTTTGAACATTCTTTGGCTTTGTCCTTTTTGGGATTAGAATAAAAACGGACCTTTTCTAGTCTTGTGGCCACTCTGAATTTTCCAAATTTGCAGGCATATTGAGTGCAGCACTTTAACAACATCATCTTTTAGAATTTGAAGTGGCTCAGCTGGAATTCCATCAGCTCCATTAGCTTGGTTCCCAGTAATGCTTCCTAAGGCCTACTTGACTTCACAGTCCAGAATATCTGGCCCAGGTGAGTGTCCACACCATTGTGGTTATCTGGGTCATGAAGACCTTTTTTGTACAGTTCTTTTGAGTATTCTTGCCACCTCTTCTTAGTATCTTCTGCTTCTGTTAGGTCCACTTCATTTCTGTCCTTTATTGTGCCCAATCTTAGCGTGAAGTGTTTCCTCAGTATCTCCACTTTTCTTGAAGAGATCATTAGTCTTTCCCATTCTATTGTTTTCCTTTATTTCTTTGCATTGTTCACCTAAGACTTTCTTATCTATCCTTGCTGTTCCTTGGAATGCTGAGTTCAGATGGGTATATCTTTCATTTTCTCCTTTGCCTTTCACTTCTCTTCTTTTCTCAGCTATTTGTAAGGCCTCCTCGGATGACCATTTTGACTTGTTACATTTCTTTTTTTAAAAAACATATTGTGACAGGCTTGTTGTTGATTGCTGCATTCAGTTGGTCTAATTGGGAGCAGTACTTGCAGAATTACTCATTTGGTTTTCTGGAAGGACCTCATAATAAAGAACTCCCTTAGAATCCCACCATACACACCATCACTTTTTTTGAGTGCAGACCAGCCTTTGATGTGCTTAATGGATATTCATTTTTCTGGCCACATGGTCTCTTTAATTCCACATTATTGTATTTCCTTTATCATTGCAAATACCATCACTAGCTATGGAGATTATATTTTATTTCTCTTCTTGGCATCTGTTGTCTAAGGACCAGTATTTCAGAAAATCTGATGGGTTGAGTGGTAATGGATTAGTACAGAGATAGGGCTGCTGTGGGGCTAAAAGCATGAGAATTGGAAAATACTTTCGATAGGAGCCAATGATTTCTCTGATGTACTTATTTTTAGATCAAACCATTTTTTCGTATGAAACCCTTATCAGAGGCTGATAAGGAAAGAGCAAGAAATCAGAAGATTCCAAAACTATCTGAGTTATTGGAACTTGCACGGAAGGAAAAAAAGTTGGTTATATTTGATCTTAATTCTCCTCCACGATCACATCCTGCCAGATCATCGTATATCCGCCTTGTAGTAAGCGTGATACTTGACTCTAAGATTGAGCAACATCAGGTATGTCTATCTCAGTATTTATGCTAAAGGTTGGGAAGTGGGTTACTTGTTTCAGGAGCATAGCATTTGAACCTGATGAACCTTGTAGATCTTCCCTGGAATGCTTAAACAATTCTACTCCTAGAGAAATGGAATTGGCTGCTTATATAGCTAGCTACAGGGTTGACCAAAAATTCCTTCAGTTTTTAAGTAAAAATAAGACACATTTTTCATTTTCACCAAGAAGTTTATTGAACAATGTATTCACTGTTTTGTTTCACTTAGAATAAGGTAAAGGTGTGTGCTCAATTGTGTGCAATTATCTGCAACCCTATGGAGTATAACCTGCCTGGTTCCTCTGTCCATGTACTAGAGTGGGTTGCCATTTACTACTACAAGGATTCTTTCCAACCCAGAGATTAAACCCATGTCTCCTGCAACTCCTGCACTGGCAGATGGATTCTTTACCATTGTGCCACCTGGGAAGCCTTATCTTCTGCTATTTTTCAGGCAACTTCATAATTTCATCTCCCCAAAACTTTTTTTTTTTTTTTGGGCAAAGAACTGTTCTAGGTGCCATTTACAGTTTTCTGGGGAATTGAAATTTTTTCCATTAAGAGAATTTTATAAAGGCCAAAAGAAATGGAAATCCAAAGATGCAGTGTCTGCTGAATACAACAGATGAATCTGAACTTCCCGCCTAAGCTGTAGCAGTTTTTACCTGGTCATCAAGAAAACAGGTGGTTTTACATTATCCTGCTGAGAGATTTTTCGTTTTCTGTTGACTAATTCTGGTTGCTTGTCGTTGAGTGCTGCTTTCAGTTGGTCTAATTGGGAACAGTACTTGAATAATTAATCATTTGGTGTTCTGGACAGAGCTCATAATAGAGAACTCCCTTCCAGTCCCACCCGATACATCATCACCTTCTTTGGATGAACACAGCCTTTGGTGTGTTTAGTGGTGATTCATTTTGCTGGCCCCATGGGCTCTTCAATTCCACATTATTGTACAGAATCTGCTTTTCATCACCCATCACAATATGTTTTAATACTTAACATTTTCAATATGTTTAAGTAAAGAATCTCATGCAAAAATACCTTCAGGAAGGTTTGTTTGTTTTTTTGCTTAATTTATGTGGAATGCAAACATCAAAGCAATTAACATAACCAAGGTGGTAAAAATTGTTTTCTACACTTGATTTGGACGCTCTCAACTTCAACTGGTCTTTATGATCATGGAGGATCATCTAGTGAGAAATCTCCAGCATGAAACTTCCACAAATCACTTTTAACATGTTCCGTCAGTCACAGCACCTTCTCCATACATGGCACAAATCTTTTTTTTTTTTTTTTTTTTGCATTTCAGGTGTGTTTTTACCTTTCTTGAAATGATAAAGCATAATATGTGAAAAATGTGACTTTTTCTTCCATCTTCAATATTAAAATGGCTATACAAAAATTCTCCAAATTTATGTTTTTTTAAATGCTCGCTGATGAGTGTCAGCTGTTACAATGCAATATAAGAACATTGTTTAAAATGAAGTTAAAGACAGCTCAGTGCTGCTACAGCCATCTTGCAGGGAAAAAAAAACCTTTGGTCCCATTATGTTAACTGGGAAAACTCAGCTCCAGAACAAAACTGGTGACAGCCCCATTTTAAGAGTTCACTGGACAACATTAAGGCAGGTTGATTCATTCATCAAAGGTTAGAATCTCTGCTCCCTATAGACTGTTACCCATGCTGGAATGAGACTCCTCCCATTCTACATGGGGCTGTTTGTACCAACACAGCTGATTTTCCACTGAAAGACTTCTTGTTTCTCCTTGCAGATTTTTTGGTTACCAGGTTCTGATAGGAAGTATGTCAGGAGCAAAGCTCCTGGTTTTCAGCACATTGGCCGGTTATTCACCATTGAAGAACTTAGAAAAGAAAATATCACTAGAATAAATGTTGACTATAAGAGATTGTTCCACAATGGCTTGAAGTAAGTGTTTAATCCCTTTTGGCATGTGTTGCCTTTCTTGCACAAAATCTGCATCCTAGCCAAGTTATTTAGGTTCCCCCTCCCATCTCAGGATTTCTGGGTTTGGCCATCTTTGTGGAATTCCCAAATTTCCTTTTGTTATCCTTTCCTCCCTATCTGCCCTAAAACATTTATTAAAGGGTAGACTCTGTTATTGGGACATAGTCTATGGCCCCTTCTCCTGTCCTCCAGTCAACCCACTTTTGTGTATTCTTGGTGTTTTTCTTTTTACACAATGTAAGTATTGAAAAGTCAGAACTCAAAAAGTTATTGATTTCCTCTTCCAGAATCTAGTACCTTATAAATGGCTTTGTGACCCCAATATCCAGATCTCTTGTAATAATAATTAATAACATAGCTAAATCATTGTTTTAAAATATTTGAGACAGCCAAGTATGAGAAGAAAGAAAAATTATTAACCATCACATTTATTATTATTAGAGGTACATTTTCAGAATTAAAAGTACCTGGGAGTAAAATAACATTTTAAAATTTATTAATCATTGTTTACATTAATCCATATACCCTTTCTGTTAGATTTTAAGATTTTTTTTCAGATAATTCTAAATTCATCAGAGACCGTTTCCTTTGAGAGATAAATGTAGCTAAATTTATAGATACAGATATTGTTGGTATTGTTGAGTTGCTCAGTCATGTCTGACTTTTTGCAACCCTGCAGACTGAAGCACACCAGGCTTCCTTGTCCTTCAGCATCTCCTGAAGCTTGTTCAGGCTCATGTCCATCGAGTGAGTGAGGCCATCCAACCATCTCATCCTCTGTCGTCCCCTTCTCCTCCTGCCTTCAATCTTTCCCAGCATCAGGGTCTTTTCCAGTGATTTGGCTCTTCAGATCAGGTGGCCAGAGTACTGGAACTTCAGCATCAGTCTTTCCAATGAATATTCAGGACTGATTTCCTTTAGGATTGACAGGTTGGATCTCTTTGCAGTCCAAGGGACTCTCAAGAGTCTTCTCCAACACCACAATTCAAAAGCATCAACTCTTTGGTGCTCAGCTTTCTTTGTAGTCCAACTCACATCCATACATGACCACTGGAAAAACCATAGCCTTGACTGAACAGACCTTTGTTGACAAAGTAATGTCTCTGCTTTTTAATATGCTGTCTAGGTTGGTCATAACTTTNAGTGTGTGTGTATGTGTGTGTATGTGTGTGTGTGTGAAGTGGTTGGTAGGCCACAGGCTCATTTTCTATTTCTGGCCTACCCATCAGCCAGGTGATGACTACACTTATGACTTGGACAAGTTTCTAACCACCAGTTTGCATTTATAAATTAAGGATCACAGATACTTGATGGAATGGTTAAAATATGAAGTGAGATAATTCATATATGTACAGAGCAAAATGCTGGGCAAATATGCAAACAGCAGAGATGTTACTTGGGGTTTTATCATTGCAGTTCTTACATACCATGCCCTAAAAATTACCATCATCCCTATTTTGCAAATAAGAAAACTTGCCTCTAAGGAGGAAAAGTTCAGAGATGTTAGTCAACTTACCAAAGTTAGTATAGTTGTTTACTAAGGCACTACACTGAGATTTAAATGTAGGCTCATAGACTCCAGAGTCCAAATTCTTTCACTGGTAAGTCTTCAGTTATTCTTTGGCATTATTATATGGGCATAGTTTCAACTAGCATCAGAATTAAGAAGGATCATATACAGAGTTCTGTTGGAAAATCAAGCAGTTTGGTTTGACACAGCATATATATACTGAGTAGCAATATGTACAGTGCACCACACTAGTTTTATGTGAAAAAATTCAACATAAATAATGGACCATCCTTTTTTCTTAAGGAAACCATATATTCTAGTAAGAACAAGGATTTTTTCCCATATACCTATGCTACAAGGTTGATCTTGATAATTTGTGAGCCAAACTTTATTCCAGGTTATTCCTCTCAAGAACAACTGAATTTTAAGAAATTAAGGAGTTGTACCTGAAGTCATCTTTATACTGTTTATGACCAGAATACTTGTTATTATGGTCACATTTCCAATACATTCTCTATGGTCAGTGCTCATTTTATCAGACCACTGATATCATGACACAAGATATCATGACACTGACATTTTGCTGAGAATGCTTTGAATACATTACTTTCACCAAAATTATATGTAGACAAAGATGTGCTATGATTTATGATGTCAAAATTTTGAAGTGCTTTAAATTTTGTTTATTTTTAAAAACTAATTTAGTGAGGTGAAATTCGTATAAAGTTAAGCATTCTAAAGTAAACCGTTCAGTGATATTTAGTACACTCAGAATGTTGTCCAACTATCACCTCTAGTTCCAGTATATTTTGGACTGGAAATTTTTATTTTCTCAGTCAATCTTGCTAGGGTGTTATAAATTTTACTAACCATTTCAAAACACCAAATGTTGGCTTTGTTAGCTTTATTCTGTTGCACATCTGCTTTCCTTTTTCATTGACTGCCGTTATCTTAATTTTTCCTTCTATTTCCTTTAGGTTTACTTTCACCCTTCTTTTGTTAGGTTCTTTAGGTAGAAGATTAGATGAGTGGTTCTGAATCTTCTTTTCTAACATTAACATTTAATGCTTTAAATTTCTCATTGCTTTAAACCTTGCTTTAGTTGCATTCCACAAATAATTTTGACATATTGTCTAATAATCTAATTTAAATTATTTAAAAATTTTGTTTCCCATTTGACTCATGTATTGTTTAGAAGTGTGTTGCTAACTTTTTAAAACTTTGAGGATTTTGTATCTACCCTTAGTGTTATTGACTTCTGATTTAAATTCATTGTGACCTGAGAACACTCTGTATGATTTCAGTATATTAAATGTATGTAAACTTGTAGCTCACTGTATTCTTCATCTTGGCAAACCTCTCATGTCCATCTAAAAATGATGTGCTTGCACTGTTGGATGTGGTATTCTATAAATATCAATTAGTTAAGATTGGTTGACAGTCTTTTAAAACACTACAATATTGTAAAGTAATTAGCCTCCGACTAATAAAAATAAATGAAAAAATAAATAAATTAAAAAAAAACATTTTATATTGAATTCTCCCCCCTACTTTTACCGTTGAGTTAACCCAAAGCATTAGGTTGCCTGTTAAACCCCCATATATCAGAGAACTTACTATGAAACTTTATTATCAATTTGAGACATAAAGGAGGCAATCAAGAGGCTTAGACAAACCAAGAAGAGATCAGGGACATTGATTTCAGCTTTGCATGTATATTCCTTTATTAGACACTCTATGGACCACAGTAATATATAAGGCCTCCAAGTTAGTTTTTGTAGAGTTGTTTCACTTAGAAGGGAAGCATTTGATTTATAAAACATCTCTATTAAGTACTCCCAGAGGGTTGTGTAGCTTATATGACCTTACCCAGGGACCCATGCCTCATAAATTCACATTCAGTATTTATTTACAAAATATGTAGTAAAGAAATATTCAACCAGGATTATTCATCCTTCTTAAAGGATTATTCATCCTTCTTTGGAACATGTTCTATACATAAAGGTCTCTATTCCTAGCAAATATTGTTATTCTATTTAGAAAAGGTGTAGCTATCATGTTGACAAGAAGGTTAGACCATGTCTTCTGCCTTCTTTCTCCTGGGTGCAACCTCTTCAGTCAGAGAGAAATTAAGGGCTATATATGCCTCATCTATCAATTATGGAGAAGGGAGTGTTAATATCTCCAACAATAATTGTGTATTTCTCCCTTTAGCTCTGTTTATTGTTGTTTTCTTGTTATTGGTGGGGTTGTTTGGCTTCTTATGTTATAAACACTTTTATTAGGTTCATTTACATTTCAAATTGTTAGGTCTTCTAGGTGAATTCATCCTTTCTTTATGAAATGCTCATTGTCGGTGGTTATAATTGTCTAATGGTTACTTCTATTAATATTGCCATGCTGGCTTATCATTAGTGTTAGTTTTTGTCCTTCTTTCAGCTCCTTTGCATACTTTATTTGTTTGTTTTGTTCTTTTATCACGCAACTTGTGGGACTTTATTTCCTGAACCAAGGACTGAACCTAGTCCCTCAGCTTGAGTGCCCAGAGTCCTCTAAGTCCTGGATCACCAGGGAATTCCCAGTATTTAAACTACATCTCTCATAAGCATAATATTGCTGTTATTGTTTTTATATTTGTGAGGATAATCTTTTAATGGGAATCATTGGTCAGTTAATATTTAGTTTATTAATGTAATTGTATTTACATTACCATCATGACATTTTTTCTATGTATGCTTTCTATTCTTGGTGGATTATTTCAGCCTTTCCTTCCTATCTTTAAATTTCTTACTTAAATTAGTATTGTTTAGGATTCTGTCTCTTCTATGGGCTTTTTACATTTTTGAATTATTTCTTAGTGGCTGCTCTAGGGATTATAAAAATTATTGCTAATTTATTATAATCCACCTTGAATTAATATTATTCTATCTTTGACTGTGTGAATCACAACAAACTGTGGAAAATTCTGAAAGAGATGGGAATACCAGACCACCTTACTTGCCTCCTGAGAAACCTGTATGAAAGTCAAGAAGCAATATTTAGAACTGGACATGGAACAACAGACTGGTTCCAAATTGGGAAAGGAGTACATCAAGGCTGTGTATTGTCACCCTGCTTATTTAACTGGATGAAGAGTACATCATGTGAAATGCCAGGCTGGATGATGCACAGGTTTGAATCAAGATTGCTGAGAGAAATATCTATAATCTCAGATATGCAGATGATAGCACTGTACTGGCAGAAAGCAAAGAGGAACTGAAGAGCCTCTTGATGAAAGTGAAAGAGGGGAGTGAAAAGCTGGCTTAAAACTCAACATTCAAAAACAAAGATCATGGCATCTGGTCCCATCACTTCATGGCAAAGAAATGTGGAAACAATGGAAACAGTGATAGACTTTATTTTCTTGGACTCCAATATCACCGCAGATGGTGACTGGAGCCATGAAATTAAA